AGCGGAGGAGTCTTAGGATGCTAACGCATATTTGTTCTCACCTGTTGATATCCAACTGATGTCGAATGATCTGACACAAGTCAGGCTGCTGGTACCAGACCCTCCTGCCCCTCCTGCCCTTCATTCCCTCATACTGTCCTGCCCAGCTCTCCTACCCTCCTCTCTCCGCTTCTCTTGTTCCACTTCTCGTATGCTCTCTCCCTCTTCTCCTCGCTTCTCCTCCTCTCACCTTGCCCGTGTCTCTCACCTCCCTTCCTCCTCTCCTCTCCTCCTCTTCCAGCCTCACCTGGGTTTGAGGGACGGCGCTGGAGCAAAACGCTTTGTTGGTGGTCCGGTACTGCTGAGCCTCAAGGTTGGTCAAGGGGTCCCGCGTCCTCTGCTCGTGGCTCTCCCGCACGATGGAGCGCTGGAACTGAATTCTCCTCCTCATCAGCGCCGCCTGCTGCTGCTCCGTCTTCGCGTACTCTTGTGCTTCCTGCGGTAGCCCGTCATGTAGGAAGAGGGGAGCAGAGGAAAGCAGAGGGTGAGGGAGAAGAGAAGAGGGAACAGAGGGGAGCAGAGCAGAGCAGAGCGCAGGACAGTGAGATGGCAGGAGGGAGAGATAGGTTTTGTGAGTCAAAGTTGAAAAGGAAGGAGGGGGGAGGGGAAGGGGGAGGGAGGAGGGAGGAGGGCAAAGGACCTCAGTCGTGAGCTTCGGATCTGCCTTTGCAAAGCTGTTGCGGGAGACGCTGTACTTGCTGTATGTGGAGGATCAAGGCAGGAAAGGGAGGGAGGGAGGGAGGAGAAAGTGGAATGAGGACGAAGTTGAGGATAGGGATGAAGACATACAGGGGGAGAGCAAAAACGACGAGGGCAAGATCGATTAGGAGGAAGAAAATGAGGAGAACTGAAATGATGAGGAGTAGGAGGATGAGCAGGAGCAGGAGGAGAAGTAGGGGAATACAAACAGGAGCAGGAGCAGGAGCAGGAGCAGGAGCAGGATGAACGCACATGAACTCGTAGGTAGCAACGGCGATGAACTCAAACTTGATGATGCAGAGGAAAAACTCCCCGCTGAGACGCCTGATGGGCTTGGCGTCTAGCTTGACCGAGATCCCCCTGGACTGACTGTCGTAGAGGATAAGGGAGACGTCGCGCAGCTGCTTGCCCTGATCGCACGCCATGCACATGCGCGAGACGTCGAGGATGCTGGTGGCTGGGCCGAAGAACTCGCTGGAGGGAAGAAGATGGTGGAGCAGAGGAGGCGAGGGAAGTGAAGTGAAGAAAGTGATGATGAGAAGAGGACGAGGACGAGGACGAGAAGGAGGACGAGGACGAGGACGAAAGACAACGAGGAGGACGATTGGAGGTCGGGTAAGTTTTGGCTGATGGACATCTCAAGGTACAGACCCGATCGTCAACTTGGTCGGGATGCTGCTGGTCTGGTCGAGGCGGAAGAGCGACATAAAGAGTTGATTGACCGAACGAATCTTACATCTGCAAACTGATCAGAACTCATGCGATGTAAATATCTTGATGCGCTCAGATATCATCAAATCTATCAATGTTACTTACATCACCATCACCATCGCCATCACCATCGCCATCACCATCACCATCACCATCACCATCATCAGCGCCACCACCACCAGCAGCAGCAGCACTGCATACCTCGCAAAGCAATCAAACGGCTCAAAGGATGTGACAAGTCCCTCGAGCTCCAGGTCAATCAGCGCTGCCAAGTTCTCAGCTCCCTCCTCCAGCTGGACCCCGGCAGGCAGTACCCATCGGCGACTCGTTCTTGTTCATAGCAAAGATTTCCTTGTGCGCCATGGGCTCCATGACCGCCAACAGAGCGTCTCTCCTGTCCTTGCTCGTGAGAGCGTCGCGCTGAAGACGCGACGATTAGCATCCGCGCATGCCGAGAGAGCATACAGTCCTCACCATCTTGTCGACCTTCTTTCTCTCCTCCTTGTGATCTGCCAATTGGATCGATACCAAGCCTGTTCCATGTCATGTTCTGCCGAGGAGGGAAGGTGGGGGAGAGGAGCAAAGTGAGGGAGACAACTTCACTCCCTCCCTACCAGGCGGCTGATCCTTCATCCTCTTGATCACGATTCTGTCCATGGGGACTGCAGGTCGTTCGATCACGACAGCATCGCGTTCAAGGCAAGGCAACAGCACCTCTGTCCTTGCGGCACTCCGAGCAGGCCGTTTCCGAGCAAGAGCTGGTAACTCCTCCCATTGTCTACGTGACAGTGTACTTCAGTCTGTGTGAAGCAAAAGGGAGAGCAAGAGAAAAGTCGGGGAGGAACTCTCTTTTTCATCGTGTTATCGTGCCTGTTTCTGTGATCTTGTTCCTGTTTTCATTCGCGCTTTGAATAACATCCCTTCTATCTACTTCATGCCGTACCATCATGGGCCTCCTGTCCCTCTCAACTTGTCTCTTCTCTCCTCATACCCTCTGCCTTCCTCCTCCCTCCTCCCTCCTCCCTCCTCCCTCCTCCCCTTCCCTCCTCCCTCCTCCTCTTCCCTCCTCCCTCCTCTCTCTTCACGTCTACGGTCTTTGACCTCGCGCAGTGTCGGCTCTAAAAACAACGCTAAAGATTGGAAATGACGTTTTTTTGCCTTGAACAATGCTAAATTCTGAATAAAAAAGCATTAATATACTAAAATAGAGTTAATATGCATGTATTAACGTTGTTTCAACATCTAAACTACCTTAACTCCGATCCGCCTCCCGAGTTGTGGTACAATTTATGCCTGCCCTCATCTCCACTCAGACCTCCACTCTTTTGAAATTGTATTCAAAGTTGAAACTTGCTATCATGGCAGGCTTAACTGATATTTCAGTTCACCCTTCTAACCGTAACTGATGGAACGTATGCCAGCCGTGCCAGTCAGATCAGCGCCGAGTTAACAAAAACTCTCCTGTAAACCAAGACGACTTACGTGGCAAGGCGGCCGATGTAGCGTATGAGACGAAGAGGGGGCTTTCCTAGCCGTCTTGCTAAGGTCCTCTCATGTCTGGATGCTTGGTTTTCACATCCTAGCATACCGTAGTACAGTCTATCTCTCATGTGCTCCTCAATTCTGGTTTTGTGTGCATTAGGTCGATGTGATATCTGCGTGACTTTGGACTAGTACAAGTCTAACAAACTTGTATTCCGTCGCTAACTGAGTTCGGGCGCCGGACATAAACCCGGCGCCCGGGCCCGCCGGGCGTCCCGCCGCCGGTCCCGGAGCTCTGCTGGAGCTCTGCCCTGAATCTCATTCCGAGGCGAACTTACTCTTACTATGTTCTGAAATTTTTGGTCCTAGCATTGAAAAATTAAGTAAAATAACGTCAGGTCGAGTTTGTGGTTGGAAGCCTGCGGCATGCAGCGATGAGGAAAGATGGAAGAGGGGAGGGGGGAGGGAGAAGTGGGGAGGGAGGAGTGACGATGAAGGATGATGGAGGGAGGAGGGAGGAGGGAGGAGGGAGGAGGGAGGAGGGAGCAGCATGGAGGAGGTGAGAGGAGAAGGAGAGAGGTGAAGAAAGCGAGGTGACGATTGGGGAAGAGAAGAAAATAGATGGATGAATGGGCAGCGATCGGGCCATGAGACGGAGCCTGTGGAAAGGAGAGGTGAAGCAGAATCCTTCTTACAGACAGCATAACGCGGGAATGACCGACGTCGAGGCAGCATGTGCCGCCTGCATGAACACAGAGGAATGAGAAGATGAGGAAGCGCGACAAATTTACTGGAATACTTCCACGACCCACCACAACGAATTTGTTGGGAATGCACATTACCAGGATGTTCTTGCCCGTCACCTTGATCTTCGCCATGCTGATAATTTTAACATACATGCATCTTCCTAACAGTGATCTTGGGGTGAACAATCTTCCGCGAGAGGATCGAGAAGGGTTATCGACAGGAAAAGGCAGCAATGGAACTGAAGAGGCGGTCAAGAAGGAGATTTCCCCGGCGGGGAAGAAGCATCGAGACAGTGTGCGGGGCGAGAGACCTGTCTTGGATTTCAGTCCGTCAGAACTTAGTGAACTAATCCCCAAAGTTCGACCGCACACACAAGATAACCTTGCATGCACTGAGGTAGAACGTTTGGAGGGGTGGAGGCCCTCTGTGGCATCCTTGAAGTGGGAGCAGGTGATTCATAGAGAGGAGGCAGAGCTCAAGAAGGTTGCTCAGACTTACGTATCAAAGACTCTGAGGATCTGGCCAAGGTCGCTTGTCTTGTTGCGCATCATGAGATGAAATTTTTGCAGCGTCGGGCCATCGTCAGGAGGAAAGCAAATCTTCATCCTCCCGCAGTCGCAGGAGAGCAGGAGCGATCAAGGTGTCCACTGCCAGTTCGGCATCGCAAGGTGAGTGCACATGACATGGAGGAAGTTGCCATGACTTTGGGAACAGAACTCGGGCAGGCTATGATGCATGGTATGACTTGCTTGTCTGTAATCCCACACCTAGGGTGAGACAACTATGTTTCAACGCTTCTATCCTTGACGTTTGAACAGATTCATAAAGTGACGGAAGGAGATACTTACGCAAACATCGCGAGTCGATACAACCTGAATCTGGACGCCCTTCTAAACTTGAACGGCATGGTGAGCGAAGGAGGCTGTTTGGCTCGCGTTCACAACAAGTGCAGAGAGCGGAAGAGGTCCGGTCATTGAAGAACGGAGACTTGGTTGAGCTGCAAAAACAGGTCATTCTGCTTGCAGCAGCGACTTCACGTGCGCGCAGAACGGATCTTGACCCTTGCTTCATCTGCAGAGGGTGCTGGTGGAGCTTGTGGACGCGAGTGGGAAAGGGTTTCACAATGAAGATCCGATGCAGTACGAGTTTTACGACATCACGGTCGGAGAAATTCACCCAAGGAGTTCGTTGACGACAGTTGTTCGCATTGCCCCATGACTGAAGCTCCTCACTCTGTCCCAGGGAGGGAATTTCCTCACTGTGTACGGACGAGGGTTCCCAACGGTGGACGGAGTTCTTTCGAGGTGTCAGATTCGATGCCGCCTTGGTAGCGTGACTCAGGTTCCGGCATCGGTCATCTCCGACTCCAAACTCTTGTGATAACTTCTACGATGTCTTCATCCTGACTCTTCTCACTCCCTTTGCTCCAAGATGCCCCATCGTCCCTCTACCAACCAACGAGCTGGACCGGGGGAATCAGGAGTCCCAGCAATCCATCGTGCGCTCTGTGCAGGTTGGGGTTACGGCCAACGGAGTGGACTTCGATGTAAGCGGAACGATGCTGACATACTACCGCAATGTCCTTTGCGTCGACCCTGAGGTGAAAGTGACTTGGACGTTCCTGCGGTCTTGACCTGAGAGGGTGAAGGACCTTGCAAGATTCTCTGTTCCCGACATTGCGCTGGTGGCCGTCCCTAAGTCCTTCAGGTGTCACGGGATTGTCTGGCATGCGTAGCAGGGGTGACTTGTCTTGTACCTGCAAAGAGGGGACGCGAAGACTCAACAGCTCAATGCGATCGAGAGCTGGCGGCGCCTGCTGCCCAGAGTGGAGATCCTTCTCATCTCCCCCGAAGGCACATTGTTCCTGTTTCTTCAAGGACCTTTCTGAGCTTGTTGGCCCCAGATGGAGTGAAGGAGGTTTCAGAGAGGTTCGGGTTCAAGCATGCAGCCGACGTGGATGTCAATGCCCAGGTGAGGAAGAGACCGACCGGGATGACTTGCAGGATCGATGAAAACCGACATGGCAGGGGACGCCATTGCTGAGTAGCATCTTCCGACGGATGAAGGAGATCAGTTCTGCAAAGATCTTTATCCTCGTCAATGCCGACATCATTCTTTTCCCGGACATCCTGGTCAGCCTCCTAGTCCGATGCCTGTCTATCCCGCTGAGAGAGGGCGAGCAGGCAGTGATCCAATCGACGGCGAAGCGCTTCAGTGACTTCCTGATCGTCGGCCGTCGGCACAACACAGATTCTACCTTCCTAGGTGACTGGGTTCCTTGTGGAACGTTTGGGTCACGAGGGACCGAACCAGAGCTCGTGGAGAAGGCCAGGGAGTCTGAAGACTGGAATCAGCTGCGGGAGCACGCCAAGTGTGTAATGAAGGAACGTCATAGCCTGGGACTGAACCCGCCGCAGGCTCCATGGCACTGAGCACACAAGATGGGCGCTGGATTACTTCGTCCTGACGAGGGACTTGTTTCAAAGTGTCCCGGACTTTGCTTTCGGTCGTCCTGCATACGACAACTGGTTCGTACGAAGGTTCGCGGCAGCTCATTGACATAGAAACTCCACGCTCTTGACGTTGATCTTCCTCCAGTGTCATCGAGATGGGACGACCAGTAATAGACGCCAGCAGCGTGATTCTTCTCCCACCTCCCATCTCCCTCCCTGACGATCCATCGCAGCTCGTCGTAGCGATTCACCAGGCTCACAGCTATGCACACGTGAACGCGAAAGAGAAGCGAGAAGCTGAGAACTCGGAGGAGGAGGCGTGGAGGAAGGCTATGAAGAAGCAGGGGAAGGTCTGCCCCAACGAAGCTGCACGGTCAAGGAGGCTGATGGGATGCCTGCAGGAGCTTGTGCGAGATTCATGGGAAAAGCTGCAGAGTGAAGAGATTCAGAAGAACTTTGCGCTGGCAGGTGCAGCCCGGCCCCCGATGGGGGATTTGCTGTAGAGGGGGGAGGAGGGAGGGGCTCGGTGCTGAGCTCTGCCTGTGCAGGACCGAATGTCAAACTTGGAACGTCGGATCACACTTCGTGGGTGGCCATGGTCTGCGTCTAGCTAGGAAAGTTTGACAAGGGAGGGAGCGAGGCGAGCTGGGCTAGTTTTCAATGGCTGTAACGTCTGTAACGGAGCTATAGGCACGAAAGTCTCGTCCACGTTGGCACGAGTTGAGGCTCCAGCCAGGGCTGACAAGCCGCCGGAGGGAAGGAATGCGATCTAACCTGCTCTCAACCGACCAGCGCTGATGCGACAGCATGCGGTGCCCTCGCAAGAGCACATCATCTAGCTCTCGTGATCTCCTCACCTCCTCCCTCGCCCTCCCTCACCTCCCTCACCTCCTCTCTTCGACACAGCGTTCACAAAACCTCCAGAGCTCCGCTGCCATCTCCTCGTCCTGCACATGCTCTGGAAGCTGCGTAAGGTACCGGGGGTTCCTCATCCCGAGGGGATCCTGTACGAAATATTCCCCGGTGATCTGCCGCATCGCAACAGTCTCAGCCAGCAGCCACCCAGCTCGACCTCTCCACTCACCCCCTCCACCTCCTCCGTCGTCAGCAGCCAGACTGCACCAGCTGCCGCTCGCTCTGCGCTCCTGACCTACAGGCCCGTCACAGCTCAGCTAGTCCCTGGCAGGTCATGCCTGACCTGAAAGATCCTCCCCAGGATGGCCGCTACCCGCGCGTTCCCCAGGAGGAGCCTTTGGAGGAGAGGCGGGAGGAAGTGCTGGTAGTGGCGGGTGGAAGTGAGGCCAGGGTCGATGGCGTTGGCTACGATCCCTTGCTCTCGGTACTGCCTCGCGATCTGCCGCATCCCTAGCAGGTTGCACAACTTGGAGGAACACGATCTCCTCAGCCGCTCGCTGACCCCTCGTACTCCCACCGCCTCCTCGGGCTTCGCCCAGTCCGCCATGTCCACCTGCCCGAAGAGGGAGGAGCCGCAGGCAAGGAACAGGACGCGGGAGTCGGCGCCGCCCATGGCCGCCGACTTGCGCAGCTCGGGCTCGAGCATGGAGAATAGGAGCTGCTGCGAGAGATGGTTCACCTGCAGGGCGTTAGCCCACCGCATCTCCCCTGTCCTCCCCAGCTCTTTCTCACCTGAAAGTGCGACTCGAAGCCGTCCTTGGTCTTCAGCTGAGGAGCGAAGAAGACGCCCGCGCACAGGACGAGGCGGGTGAGGAGACAGCCCTCCAGCTCCTGCAACAGCAGCTCCTGCGACTGTCGGACGCTGTTGAGGTCTGACAAGTCAAGGGGAACGAAAGTGACGCGCGACTCCTCTTCTTGCCCCTGCTGCTGCTGCTGCTGCTGCTGCTGCTGCTGCCTTCCTGTCACTATCACCTTGAAGTCGGTCGATGCCGCGAGGGACTGGGCTATGGCGCGCCCTATGCCGCTAGTCCCTCCTGTGATGACCACGGCCTCCTTGAGCGAGCATCGCGCGTCCATGGCAGCATGGCGACGGGCTACGAGCGAACGAGGGGGGGAGGAGTGGAAGAGAAAAGCTGCGAATGCACAATCGAGCATGCTGAGCATGAGCGCCAACGATATTCGCGCCATGGGAGGCAGCGATGGAGATGGAGTGGGGAGGAGGAAGGGGAGAGGGGGATGGGGAGGAAGAGTGCTGGATGTCGAGGAGGAGGAGGCAGATTCTGAGAGAGGGGAAGGGAAGAAAGAGGAAGGGAAGGAGCAGGCAGGGGGGTAGGGAGGGGAGGAGGCCGCGAGCCGGGTAGGACTCGGGAGGAGGTGCAATTGGGCAGCTTTATGGGGCGTAGCAGGGAAGGAAATGTCGGGGGGTAGGACTGGGGACAGGAAGGAGAAGGGGGAGCGAGGTAGGAGGTGAGGGCTGGGGAACGGAGGACTAAAGGGAGCAAGGACAAGGAGGAGAGGGAGGAGGAGGAGGAGGAGGGGAGGAGGAGGAGGAGGAGGAGGGGAGGAGGAGGAGGAGGAGGAGGAGGAGGAGGAGAAAGTTGTCGTCATGTCAGGTGAGGAGGAGGGAGGAGGCATGCATGGTTACCTGCCTGCCGACATGAGCTCAGGGAGCTTGTGGAGGACGTTGACGCTCTTGCTGCTGGGAAGTCAAGTCTTCAGGTGCTTCCTGCCCTGGATCACCTCGTCCTGTCTGACACTCCAGCGAAGATGCGGCGGGAAGGAAGAGTGCTCGGGCTCGCAGGGAGGATGTCAGTTCGCCATGCTCGCTGCGATGAAGGGGCTGATGTTGTCTTGTTGTCGTGGGGAATCAGCGGCAGACCTCTACGTCAGCTTCGTCATGGTGGGTCGGGCCGACGACCTTCGAGGAGACTACGTGAGCCGGTTGGCGAACTCGATTCAGCTGATTCAGAAGTACAGTTTACTTCACCATGTTGAGAGCGAGGTGGGAACAACTGCCCTTGTGCTGAAGATGTGTAGTCATGTAGTCATGTAGACTTGTAGTCTTGTAGACTTGTAGTCTTGTAGTCTTGTAGTCCTGTAGTCTAGACTTGTATTGCTGTAGTCTTGTATTTTTCATCGCCGCCTCTGGTTTCATTCTTCGCTTCTTCTCCATCTCTCTTCTGTTCTCAAAGTGAACATCTCTTCAGATCGTGGTGGTAGAATGGAATCCCTTCCAAGGCCAGCCAGCCTTGAGCGCCGTCCTCCGCCAGTTCGTACCGGCAATGAACGCAGAGAGACGCAAAATGTCGGCAATGATGAAAACTGCCGCAGACATCTCCTGCTCCTCCTGCTCCTCCTATCCGGATCATCACAGTCCCGAATTCCTTTCATCGCAAAGTAAGATCCTTGCAGCACGGGGGATCAGAGCATGAGCTGACTGGTTGCAGGTGCAAGGCGACACAAATCAAACTTTCTTTGAGTTCATGGCCAAGAACGTCGGAGCCCGACGGGTCCGATCCGTCCCCTCCCCTGCTGCGTGTCCGAATTGATGCCGTGGCAGGCAAGGGGGGAGTTCGTGCTCGTGAGCAACGGAGACGTTGTCTTCAACCAGCACGTCCGTTCTCTCACCCCCCGGCAGCCGCTGCCCCTTGACTCACGCCTCCTTCCTTCAGGTCTTCCGAGCTCTTAGCAAGAAGCTGTTGGATCGCGATGCGTACTTCCGTATACCCCGAGTATGCTCCCATGAAGTCCTGCTTCCCGCGCCCCCCATCCCCTCCCGCCTGCAGCCTAGGATTCTTCATCCTGCTCCTCCCTCCTCCCTTCCTCCTCCGCTCTGGCTCCCCCCTCCTGCTTCCTCCTCCTCTAGATCGTCCTGGATCGTCTCGTACTTCTCATCGCTGGTCCTGCAGGTGGAGACTTCGGCCGTGTTTGACCCGCGCGAGGACGTCATGAGGAGGATCGAACTCGTGGAGGTGAGCAACTTGTCAAGTCTGACTCCCCTGCTGACCCTCACCAGAGCATGTCGACGAGCTTGACTGAAGAACCGTTGTGCGACGTCGGTCAGACGTTCTGCCCTGGAAGGTCTTCTTTTCCTGCTCCTGCTGCTCCTGCTCCCGCCCTTGCTCCTGCTCCTGCCCCTGCCCCTGCCTCTGCTCCTGCTCCTGCTCCTCCCTCCTCCTCCTCCTCTTGCCTGACATCTCTGTGCAGATACAACGTGGGAGTGTGTGAGAGGGGATTCCTTGGAAGCGTATGCCCTCCTCCTCCTCCTTCCCTCCTCCTCCTGCTCCCCCTCCTCCTTCTCCGTCTCCTCCTCCTCTTCAGCGAGTGACTTGGATACAGGAGCGTCACGACATTCACTTCGGCAACGCTGACGAGCTCTACATGCCTGCTGCTGGAGATTTCTTCTTGATACATCGGTGAGCTCTCCTGTCTCCTGACCTTCCCCATTTCCCCTTCCCCTCAGCCAGACACGCTGCTTTCCCCTCCCTCCCGCTCCCCTCCCGCTCCCTCCCTGCTCACCTTCCTGCCCCCTGCAAATCCCATCTTTTCCAGTATGCCATAATTCTCTCCTTCTATCTCTCTTGACTCGCGTTCTTCTCCGCTTCTCTCCTCTCCTCTGTCAGGTCCAACTTCCATCTCCTCGGAGGATATCATTCCATCCCTAGCACAACCCACCTGGATTCGCTCCTGCTCTGCAAGGTGAGAGCAAAGGCGATCTTGTGTACTCCACTCTCTCTACCTCATCTCTTCTTGCTCTCCTCCCTGTGTCCTCCCCCTCCCTCCCCCTCCCGCCCTCTTTCCAACTCAAAAAACTTCTCCACTTCTCCCTCATCTTCTCCTCTCCTCCCCATCATTCCTTTTCTCTTCCTCATCTCCCTTGCAGGCGAGCGGAGCAGGGGCTGAGACAGATTGTTCTCACTCGTCCCTGCGTAATGTTCCACC